GGAGGGGGGGGGGGGGGGGGCGTGCTCATCGGAATACCTCGTGTTCGTTGCGCTGGCTGAGGCTTGTAGCTGATCGCATGCTTCCCGCGGCGCGCAGCTTCCAGCACGACTCGACTCTGCCCACCGGTGGGCTCAAAGTGAATTGTTCCAACGATGGCACCTTTTTGCGAAGCACATCGTCCGGCGCACCGGATTTGGAGAGTTCGTTTGTCGTCCTGATCTCCTACGCTCGACTCAGCGAAGCTTTTAGAGGATTGGGCCACGTGTTGGGCGTGACGCGCGACCTCATCGTGCCTGCGCAGCACCTGCTCCAACGTCGCGGTGCCGGCAGCGTTCCGACCGGACTGCTCGATGCTACTTCTCAGCAGTGGGCCCTCGACCCCGAGCTGGCCGTGCAAAAGCTCTCGTTGCAAGAAAGCGCGACGTTCGAGACCGTGGGCACGATGATCGATTGCTCAAGAAATGGTGTGCTTCGAGTAGAGTCGATCAAGTTTATGCTTCGTAGCCTGGCGCTGATGGGCTACAACATGTTGCAGCTGTACACGGAAGATACGTACAAGATTGAAGGAGAACCCTTCTTTGGTTACTTGAGAGGCGGCTACACCCACGAAGAGCTAAAGGAGGTGGACGATTATGCGTTCGCTTTGGGCATCGAGGTCATCCCGTGCATTCAAACGTTGGGACACTTGGGCCAGATGCTGCAGTGGCCCAAATACCTGGCGCTGAGAGACACGACCGAGGTGCTGCTGGCAGAATGGCCAGAGACGTACGTCATGCTGGAAAAGATGCTGCACGCAGCTACGGCTCCTTTTCGTTCGAAGAGGGTTCACCTGGGCATGGATGAGACGCACGGCTTGGCGCATGGACGCTACCATCAGATCTTTGGACAGCACAACTACAAAGAACCGACCAGGGTGTTTGTGGAGCATTTGCAAAAGGTCAATGCTCTGGCATTGGGATTGGGACTCAAACCCATGATCTGGTCAGACATGCTTTTTTGCCTCTCTGCGCGCAACAATTCCCTCTTGGGCTATTACGACTCTGCTCAACCCACATCCGTCGATGGAATTCCTCCCAATGTGGATCTGGTGTATTGGGACTACTATCATACAAGCAAGAAATCCTACTCGGATCGCATAGATAGTCACAAGCTGCTAGCTCGAAAAAGTCCCTGGATGGCAGCTGGTATTTGGACTTGGACCAGACATTGGACAGCCCTTCCATTCTCCTTCGCTACATGCAAAGCGAACCTGAACGCCAGCAAGGCAGCAAACAGCGGCGTCAAGCACGTCATGGTGACGTGCTGGGGAGACGAAGGGAACGAACAAGACCCCTTGTCTGCTTTGCCTGCCTGGCACTACTATGCTGAACACTGCTACGAGAAGACGGAAGAGGTGGATCTGCCTCGCATGCGAGCTCGTTTTGATGGGATCGTCGGAGCTTCTTTCAACGATTACGTCATGGCTTCTCGGCTTGACGATATGCATCCGGAAGAACAGAGCATCGATGATCGCATACATTTGTAAGTTGCACATTGCTCTTGCCTCAATTTACATGCAGAGGGAGCTGATTGATGCGTGCACGTTTGCACTCCACCACCCTTTCCCCCCCTTTCACGTAGCGCGCCCAACACTAGCAAGTGGCTCTTGTGGGAAGAGCCAGCTCTAGGTTTCATCTCTCCCAGTGTAGAAGCGTCTGGAATAGATTTAGAGACGCACTACACGGAGCTAGACGCCTATCTCTCAGCTCGGCTCTCCACGCAAGCATCCACTGCGCCAGACGAGTTCAGTTCGCCTGCTCGAAGTATAGCCGATCATCCTTTGAATGCCAGGCTGCGTCTTCCCCAGCTGCTCGCGAGCGCACTTTCCCTCAAGGCTGCTCTTCGCTTGAGATTGCACAAGGCTTATGTTGCAAGGGATTGGAAGGAGCTGTACGCTTTGGCTGGACCTGACCCTCTCAGTCGAATGAGCCGTCTACGTGCTGCTGTGCAGCGCTTGCACAAGTATCATTGCACCATGTGGCACTCTACGTACAAGGCGAGTCGACAGGCGCTGATCTTGCGGCATCGTTAGATCAACTGGACTTTCCTTACCTGTTGCTGATATCGTTCGCATCCATTTCGCCTGCTCAGCCTTTTGGCTGGGAAACATTGGATCTGAGGTACGGCGGGCTGGTGGCCCGTCTAGAGACGATGCATTCCCGACTCGTCGCCTTCCTCTCCCACATTCAAGCAGGCGGCGAGCCAGGCAAAGCGTTGAGCCAATCGCAGCCGACCGGCCCAAATGCTGGTGTGCTCTTGAATGCGCAAGGAGCGCAAGATGCATCGTACGATGCACCCGTCGATTCTTTGCCAGAGCTTCAAGTACCTCTGCACGTGGTCTATGCTTCGGCCCTTCAGCTGCTCGATTATCATCGCGTTAGCAGACCGACGTATTGTTGAGCTCGCTCGCTACATTCCGGGCCTCGAGCTTTACCTGCACTCATCCATCTCGATCTACATCGCCTCTTTGCCTCTCACCCCCCTCTTCCCCTCGCGGCCTCAGCAACACTTTATCGTGCGACGTCGTTGGCACGTGCGCATATAGACAAGTCACGCAAGCCTCACGCAATCAGGAACGGGCCATCTGCTCTGCTCGTTGGAGCCCCGCGCCGCGCCGCGCCGCGCCACAATCTCATCTCTCTTTTCACATTGCATTCGCCGCTACTTGATCCGCTGCTCCGTGTGACAGTCAGACTGCCCGTCAGCATTCTTGATTCAAACACTCACCTCCACCTCCTTTGATCATCCCAAGGAGGCGAAATAGCGCTCCCTCCCCGCCAAGAACTCTGTAAAATTTTATTTTGCGATTTCGTGACCTCGAACAAGGTGCAAGATTGGTAGCTTAGAAGGCGATCAAGTCATATAGAGGGCAGACTCAACCCGTATAGCTTTGAAGTGAAAAGGGGGAAAGAGAGAGGGAGATCGCGCCGAGGCGAAGAGAGGGGTGGGGGGTGGGGTCCAATGACGGGAGTGCGTTGGAGGGATGGCTAGAATTTATACGCAGCCATTGCGAATCACCTCCCCGGTTCCAGACAGCGCAGTCGAAGCGACATCTGAATTGTAGGTGAGACAAGCTATGACCAAACGTCTAGCAAGAGACGCGAGCGGGACTTGAGAAGCTGCAACTCCTTCTTGCCATCCTCGGCGCTTCCCTTGGCCTCGGACAAGATGCGAACGAGGGTCGCTTCAACATCTTTAGCCATGCCTGCAGCTTCACCGCAGACTGAGCAGACAGCGCGAATTTTGAGTAGCGTCAGAGAACGAAGCCCACAAAGAGAATCTGCGAGGTGGCCATGCTAGCGAGCACTCACCAAAAATGTAGGCCTTGTTGTCGAGAATGTCCTTCGCGATGGCCTCGCGCTGCTCCCAAACAAGATCTTGCACGTACAGCTTGGATCCGTCCGGCTTGAACTTCTCTCTAGAGAGCGCTGTGTACATCTCAAACGTGTCTCCTAGGGCCTTTTTGTGCTCTTCCCACTCCTCCTTGTACAAGAAATCCTCGTTCGACTTTCTGCATCCGTAAAACAATCTAATCTTGCCCCAATCTTTGAGCGCCTCTGGTCCATTCTTTTCGATCGCCTTTTGCGCAGAGGCTACGCGCTCCTGCACAAATCCTCGGAATGGCGCGACACCTGTGCCAGGGCCGACCATGATGACTGGGATCTTGGGAGAAGTGGGCAATCGGAAGGTGGAGCGACGAATGTGGATAGGAGCGCGAATTTGACCTCCCGCAATATACGCGCCTCGAGGTCCCTCGATATTGTAGTAAGGAGACTTGATACGAGCGTCGACCTGCTCCTGGTTGTACTTTTGCTTGAGCGTGCTGATAAAGTTGGTTGCCAGTCCATGGATGTACTCTCCTCCGTCCGCAGCTTGGTAGCGCAGAACGACCGCGGTGACGTGAACGGCCTTCGGATACAGCTTGGGGCTGGAAGAGATGGAGTAGAATCGAGGGCCGACGCGGGGTATCGCAGAGATGATTCTGTCAAAAGGGATTTGCCATGGAGTGGACTTGCTAGGCTCGGCGCGAAGGTCATCGCCAGCAACGCTTTGCAGAACCTCTGCGAGCTTGAGGGAGCGGCTTGCAACCTTCTTGCCAAAGTACGCCTTGTCCGATCCGATCTTTGCGAGCTCGGCCTTGGCAGCCTCGCTGGGGGCGTATTTGGCAAAGGAATTGACTGCCTGACGACCAGCTGCAGCTGAAATATCAAGATAGTGGCGGAAAATGGCATCGTAAGTGGTGGGCACGGGGAAGGGCACCTTGGCGAGCGTTGGGTCCAGGGATTCGACATCGATGACTGTGAAGCGCTTCTCGGTGAGACCAAGGACAGCCAAAATGCGCTCCACTTCGATCTCTGGATTGTTGGGCCAGACAGCAATGTGGTCGCCATGCTGGTAGGAGATGCCCGATCCATCGATGTCGAATTCCATGTGCACGCATGACCTCTCGCCGCTCAGACTGAATAGCTCCTTCGCCTTGATGATGGGCGCAGGGTAGGGGTTCTTGGCATCGTGGATTCCTTTGGTTCCCAGCAAAGCACGGGCAGAGAGCTCTCCTTGGTACACGCGGTCCTCTTCGAAATCATCGATTTCCGCAACTTCGAAATCTTCCACCTCACCGCCACCGCCTTCCTCAAAGCCGCACTCCTGCGCAAGAGCCTCGAACATGCCATCCTTCCACTCGAGATAGTCCTCTTCCATGCTCTTGTCATCATCGCCTTCTCCGCGCTCGCCGACGCGAGTTGCCCCAAGCTCCTGCAAGCGTGAGTCCAGATCGCGCGCGACCTTGTTGTAGTGCTCGTATGTGCGATTACCGAGACCAAAGATGACGTACTTGAGACTCTCGAGATTGTCGCCCTGCGTGAATTGGGGTGACTCTTCGGCAACGTGCTCTACAAGCTTCACAGCATTATCTGTGGGCTCGCCTTCTCCATACGTGGCCATAACAAAGATTGCTACTGCGTCCGCGGGAAGAGCGTCTAGCTTGTCGAACTCATACTCCTCGGGGTCGAGTACGAGAGAAGAGGTGCCGAATCGAGCCTTTGCTTCCTTTGCGATTTTCACTGCGTACTCCTCTGCAGTTCCAGTCTGCCAGCAAAAAAATGATTGTCAAAAAGACGAGAGGCGCGGTTTTTGGATCTCGTACTCACCTGAGAGCCATCTGAAAGGCGTGCACGCGGTTTTCGGGCAAGAGGCGGTGAGAACTTTGCGCTATTCAAAGCTGGATGAGCGCATTTCGAGAGGCTGTGCATACTCACAAAAGATGACGATGCGCTTTTTCTGAGCGGTACATGAGGCCAACAGAGCTCAGATGTGAGCCAAGCGTTCTTGTATGCGTCGCTGCGTGACTCATAAGGCACCCTCCGTGCTGGCGCGCGAATGCTCACCTGCTCCTTTAGCTTGGAGACAAAATCATCTCCTCCTTCCTCGTCAAAAGAGGCTGGTTGCGCAAGCTTGCTCGCGGAAGTGTCGACCTTTTTGGAAAAGATGCTGTCCTTGAATAGGTACACCACCGCACCAAGGCCGATCAGAGCTGGTAAAGTGCAAGTGCAAGGGAAGGAAAGGCCGCACATCAGCTGTGTGTGCCGCGCTGGCCGCAAGTGGGCTCTTTGAACTGACCCAGGACTAAGAGGTCAGCCGAAGACGGCATCTTGCTTGCGTTTTACCAGATCAAAGATCAGCTAAAACGGCAAGAATCGGTCTTTAGGTCAGTTGGCGCGGAGGTGTATATGCGAACCAACTCGGCCTTGCTCACTGTCTAGGGGCGTCGGGAGCGATGGGTGTGGTTGTGCGAAAGGCAGGACTGCGATGCGCCAGAGATGATGTTGAAAGAGGGAGGTTGGAGCAAGTCGTGGAAGCTTGGATGGGACACGGTCATGCACACATGCAAGACGGAAATCGTGAGTGCGTTGCGGGGCTCGGAATTGAATGTGAATAGTGAATGAATGTGCAGAATCTGAAAGGGCATCACATCATACAGTTATGCGACCGCCGCGTGTCCGTCGGTGCGGCGGAGGAAGCGCTCCCCAGCTGCAGCGTTTGCTGCTGCTGCTGCTGCTGCGCGATGGCCACGCCGCTCCCTTAATTCGTGATTGCTGCATGCTGCATGGGTGGCTACCGGTACTTTGGCTGTGCGCCGCTCAGCGTCGCGCCCTGACCATGCTGGTATACATACTGTTGTATATTCGAAATGATCATCTCGATCAGCTGTCAAGAATCAAATATCAACATCATTAAGATTTTCGACTTGTGATGTGAATGCAAGACTTTGACTGTATGTGAATCGAATTGCAGACCCGGCTCGGCCTTTGAAATGCCGCGGTCACGCGAGGTTAGCTTCATTTTTGATCAGCTAAGAAGAGCTTTTGTTGCAGGTCTGAGCGTGAGATGAGAAAGGCACGATCGAGGCCCCAAATTCTCGACAGTTGAATTTGGAAACCTTGTTTTCCGCGCTAAGCGTGCTTCCTCGATCCCAGGATCCGTGCCTTGACATTCAAGATTCAAAGATCGAAAATTTCTTGATTTCCTCGCGGCGGGCCTCGCGACGCTGCTGCACGAACGGGATGGAGTGCGACGTGCCTTCTTGCGCGCGCCTCGGGTCAGCAGCAATAATCTTGAATATTATAATCGCGTGAATATCAATGATAATCAATGAACACGGCCGCGAGAGCCTTCTTGGCTCTCTGCCTGCTGACGACCTGTGCCGATGGTGGGACCGTGCCGTGCGCCCCACCATCAGCGCAGGGCGCGTGGTTTCTCGACGGTGCACGAAGGCTCGGGTATCAGCTTCACACTTTCCTGGACATTCAAGTACCGATACACGCGGCATGACTCGCATGCCCTGCCCCCAGCTCGAGCCAGCTGATGATGATGAGATAAGCAGCGGCATACCACAGTCGCCGCGGGCCTCGAAGCGGGGCGAGCGCGTCGATCGCGACCCCTGTTCTCATTCAATCGTGAATGCCGGTACTGTAGCAATCGAATCGACTTTCATCCAAGCTCGAAATTAGGGCCTGGCTGGATAATGAAGGGGCCGCACGGCTCCTGATACGGAACATGAGGAGGGGTTTGTGCATCATCTGCACCTAGGGCAGGCGAAATCAAATCAGATCTGCGTGCTTGACGCAGAACACTCACAACAGACTCATTAGGCTCGTCGGCATGATCAATCATACCATCACGAATCACGAATGATGCATCTCCGCCGAATGCTTTCACATCTCTTCTATCGTCATTCACAACCCGTCCAGGTTCAACGCGTTCGCGCTAGCTAATTCGGCTGCGCGGAACCAATCTCTTCTCGAAGCGGATCGAGCTTGCTCCTGAGAGGCCTAGCTGATGTTGTAATCAGGTAAGCAAATCACAAGTGTGAATCTTGAATCGATCCGTGCATAATTGTTGTTCGGTACGAGGAGCTCAGCTTGGCTCTTGAGCACTCTCAGTCTCGACCGGCTTCCGACGCGCTACGGTCGCAGTTAAGATTTCTCGCACGGCCGATTGCCGCCGAATGAACGACTCACGTGCAATCTGAATTGTGAATCACGTGAATCGTGAATCGTAAACTCAGGACTCAAGACTTTTGACTCTTGACTCAAGACTTATTGACTGTGTAGATCAAGATCACCTGACCACGCCTGGCCAGTGCGCGCATGAATCAAGAAGTGCTGCTGTGGGCGGGCTATGTGCCGCCAATCGTGAACCAACATTTACAAGCTCTACGAAGGTACATCCACTCACGACTCTGACTCAAGACTTGAGGCCACCTTCCTGCTCTCGCAGGGCAAGTTGTGTCCACATTGCGTTCTCGCTTCTCTTCTCTCGCGGGGGATTGTCGTCATTGTCCAGCCAGGCACGGGAGCACTTTGGCAAGAGGCTGACCAAGCAACGGCGCAGAACAAGGGTGGCATTGCTCGGAAAAATGCAAGATATCAATCCTTATGAGGTGAGCAGACGACGTTTCTGAAGGCGCACCTCCTGTCAACGCCGCGATGGTGAGCCAAAGCTCACGTTTGGTCTCCTTCTGCTTCTGCAGGAAGCGCGTCTCTACTCCCCTCATTCGGCAGCGACGAGAGATGCGTGGGAGAGTATGGCCACCTTGTTCTCCATCATCGTATCTTTGGAATACCTAGAGCGAGCTTATGTCAGGCATGGCGTGGATGACAAGACGTGAGTCGTAGCATCTTCGACTGATGATGATTGTGACGAAGCTTGTGGATTCGCCCCGGCTGACACTTGCATCCGTCTCTCGAGCACGCCAGATACGCGCCCGCATGTCAGCGACTGCTTGCTCAATTCAAGACCCTCATGAAGCTCGTAGCTGTGCCTGAGAGCCAATCCCCGGAGAGCGTCGGACCTCTAGGGGGCACGATGGATGGACCCATGCCCGTGCGAGATGTCGCTGATTTCATGCAGCGGTACAAGGTGAGAAGTCAAGATTCACTCTATCCTGGGCATCACTAGCGGCTATCTGACGCCCACTCGACGTAGATGCACCACACGGCAGCTGCACACCGTCTGGCTGTTGGCGTACCAGCTACGGTGGAGCACGCATCATCCTCGGGCTCATCGGGCGATGGTAATGCGAGGGAGAGGGGCAAGAACATAGCAGAGACGACGCAAGGATTCATCACCTTTATGGATGCAGTCAAGTTGAAGATGAGAGCAAAGGATCAACTGCACCCTCTGCTGGGTGATTTGATGGGCGCGTGGACTAGAGCGGGTGGAGAACAGGGAACAAGCAACGAGGCTAGAGCGAAAGTGCTCGGATGGTGAGTCTTTGTGCAGTGCGAGCCCTGCGTGCACGCATCGGGTTCTCACGAAGTACTATTTGGGCTGGCTGCATGCTACAGGCTCATCAAGCTGAACAAGATGGCAGCGGCGGACGAGATTACGGATGAGGAAGCACGGCAGGTGAGTTGTGCTCGCGCTTAGTGCACATTTGAGCAGCTCCGCAATCATCTGAGCACCTTGCTGCTCCGTATATCAGATGCTCTTTGACGTGGAGGGCGCATACACGGCGTGGTTCGCCTCTCTCCAAAGCTGATGCAGCTGCTCACGAAGTCTTTGCAGTCACAAATCCGCCTTCGCTTTCCCAAAGTTGGGCACTTGCATGGCCTATCCGAGTTTTTCTCTCTCTCTCGCTGCTTTGTTCCCAACAACTCCTTTCATCAGCATGTTCCAAATGTCAAATGTCAAATGTCACCCATCACACGTTTCTCTACTGTACTGCGCAATCCAATCAGTTCCGTCGACATCCAGCAGTGCGTTGAGTTCGATGTATAGATGCTGCAAGGACCACTCAAGACTGCCTGAGTCCTGTGGCATCAGTTGCTTGAGATCGTGAATACGTGGATCATCAAAACGAACGCTTGGGCTTACATCGGTCGTCTGCCACGTGGCGTGGTTTGCCATGGTGACCGGAATCTCGTGAAGCTGCACGGTGCTGGTCAGATGCATGTGATGGCTGTGCGGAGATGTTAAACGCCGTGGTTTGTTCGCCTCGCACAGCCTCATGCGCGCAGACGCCCGCACCGCACCGCACCGCACCGCTCCGCAACGCGTACGGCACGGCTTGGCGGCGAACTGGTGGACTCCACCCGCGCGCGCGTATGCGCGCGATGCTGTGACTGCTGCTGACTGCTGCTGAGGTGGGGTGAGTTACGAACAGCATGATGTGCATTCACGATCCTGGCATTCGTGGCACCCGTCATCTGTTTGGTGACATCCACACTCGATCCGCGCTCGTACGGACTGTTCCAAGCTGAGCTGCATTCACCACTCGGTCACAATCTTGATACTCTAGGCAGTCTTTGCCTTTGACAGCTACGCACATCGAGACCATCGGAAAGTCCCTCGAGTCTTCACAGTACGCCGTTCCGCTCGGGTGCATTGCCGCACGCAGGTTCTTCGACGAAGAGCAACAGTTTGGCACGGCATTATGAGTTACCCGTTCAATAGCTCATATGCGGCTCAACAGAGTCCTTCGCCTTACCAAGGTGGAACAGGTTACGAGACCTACTCTTCAAGTCAAGGTGCAGCTCAAAGTGCAGCGGCACCCCAAGCGTACAGATCAGCAAGCACTCACAAGCGGACAGACACTGGATTCTCATACAATTCGGATGGCGGGGATGCGGTTGGGAAGAGCAGATCTAGAGAGGCGGAAAAGGATGCGGGTCAAGGAGCTTATGGGCCCAGCTATGCTTCTGGAACGGGAGGGGCTGCACTATACGGCAGCAAGGGCATCTTTACACAAGAGGACAGAGGTGCTTTTGGCGCCAGGAGCGTCCCTGTGCGAATCTTTAGGTGAGAATGGAAGACGTTACGCTTGCTCGCTCTTTGTTCTCGTCATCTGAACTCCTGCGCCCGAAGATCGATTGGATGCATCATCATCTGGGCCATACTCATCATCGTCTCGATCGTGTGCCTGGTCGTCATCGTAAGTCAGCTCTTGGTTGGGCATTATCCCTCGCACCCAAGCGTGCATTGCAATCTGAGTCCTTTTTCCGCATTGCTTGATGCAGTTTGCGCGGCCGCCGAATGTGGCCATTTCCGGCATCAACCCTCCCAGCGCAGACGATATCTCCGTTCAGGCCTCGGGCGTGACGTTCAATAGCTCCATCAACTTTGCTGTATCCAATCCCAATTCCATCTCTGCCACCATCACAAAGCTGACGGCGCATGTAAGTGGTGTATGCAGTGAGAACATTGGCCTTTTCTGGGCTCATATGGCTTCATTCCCATCTACATTGCGCAGGCATACAACAAGGACGTCAACACCGACGTGGACGTCGGCAGAGGGACGATCGAAAACAAAAAGATCGAAGCGAATTCCAACACCACCATTCACTTTCCATTCCAGCTCGCGTACGATCTGACCAAGGACAGGAATTCTGCCATTATCAAGGACGTCATCTCCAAGTGTGGTTTGGGAGGAGGCGGTGGAAATGGCCAGCTCGAGGTGAGTGGGTGTAGTGCGGAAAAGAAGAATGATGATCTCTGCGCTGACACCTTTGACGCTCTCGGTTACAGTACACGCTCAAGGTGGATGTCAGACTATCGATTCTGAGCGTCTCTATTCCTTTTACCATTACTCGCCCGCTATCCTTCACTTGTCCTGCCAGCACCATCTCCTCGGCTCTACAAAATTTGGGTCTGGGTGACATCATCAACAGCTTGGGCGGCAGAGCTTGGAACTTGAGACGAGCATTACCCGAGGAGGAAGAGTGGAGCGAATCACGAAGCGTAGAAGAGAGGCTCGGAACGAGAGAGGATATTGTTAGGGTGACGCAGATGCTGGGCGAAAGGGCTCGGGATGCGTTTGAAGAAAGACAGAAAAGAGCGCAGCCGCTGACCATCGAGTACCAAGCGAGCAGACAAGCGCTACATCCCGATGCTCTGTAGAGCGTGCTGCTCTCTGGTTGCATTTCTTTGCAAGCGCCGTCAAGGGGCACTTGTTGACGGTCTTTCTGCTTCTCATGCACACCCCGCCCCAATGCAACTCATCCCTGCCCTTGACTCGACTCTTGTTGATTCGTGACTGTATCACCGGCGTTGTTCGCAGCCTGCTTCGTAATCTTCATACTTCATGGACATTTGCAATGCGTCATGCGCTTTTGCTAGAACACACGGACACGGCCCAAATGCATAGCTCAGCGTGCAGATGGGTGTGTAGACCTGCACTGGAGTGGAATGTTGACAGGAAGCCTTGTCGGGAGCTTGAGTTGACGTCTGATGACTCACACACAAGTGCGCCACCATGCAGTCATGATTGTTAGTGCAGCAGAGGTGCGCGGGGGAGTCATGCTTCGTGCTTGTTGCTGGCTTGGCAAATCGACGCCGCACACGTCAAAGCCGAGCGAGCGAGCGCCTTTGTTCTGATTCGATGCTTGCTCCAAGGCAGAGAGAGCGACGCGGCATGTGATGCTTTCCTTGCTGGCTCACCCGAGATACGCACGCTAGAGATCAGAAATGCCTCATCAGCTTGGCAACGCAGCGAGAGATGAATCACAATGCTTTGCAAGTTGCTTTGCTTCGCTTCGCCGAAGCAAAGACTGAGGAGGAAGATGTGCAGTCATGCAGCCCTTTGGGAGAGGATGAATGGGTCGTCAGTCACGAAGCGTCTTGAGTACGGTTTGGCTCAAACTTTGTAGGCTCAATTGCAAGCGTCGCTGTGGACCCCTGTCTGCCGTCTGCGAACGCGTGCATGACCTCGGTGCGCCGGAATCAAGCGCGTATGTACACATCCACTAGCAGCATCGCAGGGGAGTTGTGGAGGATTAAGCG